CGAGGTCGACCTATGATTCTTCTGAGGTCGACCCATTGTCGTTTTAAATTAATTGCGGTCGACCGCTTTATGGAGTGGTCGACCGCGTATTTTTCATTTCGAAAATGTGACTAACGTGTATTCTTGCTTGTTTGATCGCAGGATGTTTGGCGGCAGAAAGAAAAGAAAGGCACAAAAAGCTGCTGCCTCAAGTTCGGAATGGGAAGAGTTCAATTCGAATCTATTCCAGACGAAGGAGCAAAGTGAGAACTAAGAAGAGAAGAGCATGCACAACTGCAGGGTGGCTCCGGGAAGGCCATTGACGACGGATGGGTATTCTCATTTCGAGAATTACGGGTTTCTGGGACCCTTCATCGAGCAGGAGTGGCTGAAGGTGATATCACTCAATGTACCATACCACCAAAAATGGTACAATACTTCTACAACAACATCGTCTACGAGCGCAATGCAAATGGATCCATTCGCGCATTCAAATCCTATGTGAATGGGGTGGCGATGCGCATCAGCAAGAATGTGTTGGCGCAAGTACTGGAGGCTCCAAACGATGGGAGGAGAATCAATTCTTACGGTGCTTGGAATGAAACGCATTTCACGAGAACCAAGCAAATCCATACGGTATGTGGTCTTGATGAAGAGGAAGATGCTCAGGGGCGCAATAGGCCATCGAGTAACCACCTGACAGTTCAAGCCAGAGTTCTTCACCACATGCTTTCCTACAACATTCTGCCAAAGGGTGGACATCGGGAGACAGTCACCTACTTCGACATGGAGCTCCTCACCAACCTACTGTTAAACGAGAAGGTGAACTTGCCATACTTGATCTTTAACCACATGCTTACTGCTGCAGAGAGTTCAAACAGGAATCTTCCCTATGGGATGATTCTCACTGTGATATTTGAGCATTTTAATGTGAATTTAAGTGAAGAGGTGGGGTTAACGATCTCAAGGCAGGAGTTCTATACTGTTTCATCTCTGAAAAAGATGGGTTTTGAGCTGCGTAATGGTGAGTATGTCAGAGCAAACATTGCTCATGGTGGTGATGATGATGATGATGATGAGGATGATGATGGTGATGAAGGAGCTCGAGACGAGCCAATGGCGGAGGCACAGACTTCAACTCCACCGATCACCTTACAGCGTGTGTGGGAGCGCATGGATGGCATGTACGAGTACATGGGCCAGATGTCCACCCAGATGACTGGCATGTACGACTACATGGGGCAAATGACCACCCAGATGATCACAATGCAGGTGACCGTGAATGAGATGCGAGATGAGTGGCGATCTTTCAGCGGAAGATACATGCATCCCACCACATCCGACCACCATCATGCTACCACCACCAATGAAGAAAATGAAGAAAATGTGGATGAGGGAGAGGGGGGAGATGAGTAGGAGAGAGGAGATTTTATATTGTGTGTTTTAGTTTTCAAAACGATTGTTGATTGTTATTCTGTTGTTTTTTTAGTTTTATTTTTATGTGTGAACAATTATGATTTCTGTTTTATTTTTAGTTGTTATGCTATGAATTGATGAGTCCTTGTTATAATTATTAATGACTAATTATGATGGTTTGAAACATAATTTATACGATTAAATTAACCACACAAATCGACATACATAAGCAAAAAAGACACGGGGCATAGGTTGACTTTCTTGTATTCGGTCGACCTCGTACCGGATTAGGTCGACCGAGAAACCAACACTTGATCTTCATTTTACGTCAAATGATTGGACACTTTGATAGAACACTTATCTTCTATCTGGTCGACCTCTTTCCTTATCCGGTCGACCATTTTGTTAATGACTGCCATCAAGTGGTCGACCTATATATTAGGTGGTCGACCATGTTGTTTCTGATGCCAACGAAATGGCTGACCGAGGTTTTATTCTGGTCGACCAAAAATACCAACTTAAACTAAGTGTGGTCGACCAGGTGGTCGTGGCGGTCGACCGCAACGCTTTCTCGTGCTGCCCAAATTAGTCAATTCGGTCGACCGCCTTCAGGAATAGGTCGACCGAAAAGTGCATGTCACCGTGACATGCATGTCATAGTAGGCATACCCTTATTTTTAATCTTATCATAGTAGTAAATCAGTAATGGACTAAGGGTACTCTAGGCAAGTGTATTTACTATTTAACGACACAGCTAATATTATGTCCTCCAGTTAGTTAAAAATTGTTAGGTAAAAGTGATTATTGTTTTCTAATAAATATCATTCTAGGAAAAAATCATATATAAGCTGTAAAATTAATGAAATCCGATCTTTCAACTGGTAGGGTTACTGTTGACACTTAAAATTAATTTGGTCTGAATTAAATGCCGCATTAATTAGTCTCGGCATTTAATTCGATACCGCGGGTAAAAAACGGTGTCGTATGGAGTCGAGCGGCGTCGCGGAGAGTTAAAACGATACCGCGAAACAGAAAAGCGGTACCGCAAGGAAGCTCAGCGGTACCGCAAGGAAGCTCAGCGGTACCGCTGAGCAGAAAAGTCACCGCCGGAAAACAAGATGGGGCCGCGCGTTTTGGTATTGGTGTTGGAAAAGGAGTTATTATTATTATTATTATTCCTTGTTGGAAGGGGAAAATCGGTACCGTATGGAGACAAGCGGCATCGTGGAGAATTAAAACGGACCGCGGATTTAAAAACGATGCCGCGGGAGGCCTTGATAAGCGGTGCCGATTAAAAAAAAATCATATCGGGTAAGTGAAGGGCCTAAATTCCGCTGTTCAATGAATTGGAATTTTTTGGATATGTTAGGTGTGTCGTTTAATTAAAAACGGTACCGCGAGTAAGCCCAACGGTACCGTTGTATTAGCAAACGACAGTGTTTAAATATTTAAACAATGTCGCGAAAAAAAGCAAACAGAGCTGTTTGGAGAAGAAAACGACACCGCGGAGCTTGAAAACGATATCGCGTGAGGAATCAGCGATACCGCGGTGGTGGATAAAGCCGCGAGCTAAACAACATTCCGGTGGAGAGAGATGTCGCGGTCGCGAATCTAGCGGCGTTGCTAGTGCGACAATGCCGCGAAGTTCAATGATGCCGCAAGGCCAAAGCAACATCGTGGAGTTCAACGAAGGCCATCTACTTTGTGTGGTCAACGACGTCGAGAGATCAACAATCTAGCGGCGAGTACACGGTGACGAGGGTGAAACAACAATGTTGTTTTAATCGATGGCGGTGTCGTGATTCGAACCATGGTACAAAATTGATGTGTGTGTCGTAGTCGCGAAGTTCAAACTTTACCTTTTCTCTGTAACTCCTTCACGAAGCTCTCCTTTCAGGAAGGATCTCCATAGTTGTAGTCTTAGTCGTAGTCGCGGAGCTCTCCACAGGAATCTCCATAGGAGTAGCGGTAGCATAGATTCCTCAAAAACTCAAACACCCTCGTTCGAACGTAGTTTGGAGAGGTGCGAACCGTAGCAACGGTCGCGTTGGTTAGAAGTCAGAGGTGCATCAATCAGATCAACATCGCCCGACGGTGGATATTTGACGGTCACGTTGATTTCACCATTCAGAGGTGCATCGATCAAATCAACATCGCACGACGGTGGATATTTGACGATCGTCATCGTTTTTAGAAGTCAGTTGCACCGAACAAATCAACACCGTCCGGTGGATATTTGACGGTCGTCTCGATTTCAGCAATCAGCGGTGCTTCCGATCAAACGGCACCGCAAGAGTTTCCATCGCGAAACATCAAATCAACATCGTCGGAAACGAATTCGGCACCGGCGGTGGTATTTGGTTTCGCAAGGAAACAGTTACTTACTGTGACAATTCGTGACTATCATATAAATAATAAATTCTACTTGATTTACCAAAAGGAAGCATTTTTCTTCACGATATGGCACTCCATGCACATGCCTTGATCCAACCAGGAACTTGCTTATTACTCTATGGAAGCGGTGTCAAGAACCCGTTGATCCCAATAATTCGAGTTGTTGGAAAATGTTTAATTATTGATCATATACCGTTTATTAACACCCTCCCTCAAACTCAAGCCACTCAAATAGACTTGAGCGAGTTTGCACAGGCATAGGTCCGGACAGGCGGATACCATGTGCTTAACAAAATCATATGAGGTTATCGAAATTCGAACATGAGACATTTTCGATCACAGAAGACTCCGATACCATGTCAAAAATCAATTGATATTCAGAACACAGGAGTAGCAGGTAGTGGAAGTTCCAAAGCTGCTAAACCATCCATCGAAGTTCGGGAATCACAAGTTGGACTTCCTCAGATCTCAGATCCAGCACGCAGGTCAAACCCCCCAAACGGAAATCCGGCCGGCCTTAATGCACGTGCCTCTCACATGCATGCCTGCCCTCCAAATTCTAGCGCCATTAGAGAAAATAAACAAAAACCGGATCGCATCCTCGACTCCATAAAAACAAGCAGCTTCCCTTCCTAGTTCCTTCTCTCTTAATTTCCAAGTCTGCACATTATTAACTGGGTAAACAAACCCGACAAGGAATTGAATGCAGCGAAATGGAAGAGGAAATAAACCCGGCAGAAGAAGCGCCACTTCTCATTCTTCCCACCATGTGACCCACGACTGCTTAGTCTTACACTCCCAATTATATAATTAAACCTAATCCACCACCACCACCACCATTACCACCCTCTCATCTCCATCTGTTTCTCCTTTCCAGCTACTCACAGTTTCCCCAGTTCATCCACCCATCAATCATCAACGACCATGGCGTCCATCGCTCGGTGGAGCTTACTCTTGCTAGCCCTCCTATGCGTCCTGCCAACGCTGACCACCTCCAAGTACGTCGGGAAGCCCTTCATCATCCGCGGCCGCGTCTACTGCGACACCTGCCGCTGCGGCTTCGAGACCAACAAGACCACTTACATCCCCGGTAACGTACCATATATATGCGCGTATATATATTTCTCTTTAACAACTCGAGTTATTGAGACCAACTGTAACGTTACAACGCAGGTGCGATGGTGGCGATCAAGTGCTTCGACAGGAAGACGATGAACCTCAAGTACAGCGACACGGCCGTGACGAACGAGCAGGGGCGGTACGAGATCACGGTGCAGGACGACCACGAGGACCAGCTGTGCCGGACCGTGCTGGTGAGCAGCCCCTGGGGATACTGTAAAGTTCCCGACAAGGGCCGGTGCAACTCGGAGGTGATCTTGACCCGGTCAAACGGCGCCGTCTCCAACCTCCACTTCGCCAACGCCATGGGGTTCTACAAGGATGAGGCGGAGGAGGGTTGTAAAGAGCTCGTCCACCAGCTGCTTTACGCTGACTTCTAGAGATCGATCCACCCAATTGATTATTAGCTTTTTTTTTATTATTAATGATGAATATCATCATGATTCATGAGTGATGATCAATAGTGTCACGTGCATTTGGTTGTTTTTAATTTCCAATAATAGTTTAGTTTGTTTCAGCTGTTTAGTTAGCCACGATTCCCACTTGCTGAACGTGGAGTAGGATTAGGGAATTAGTTAGTTTTGGTTCAGTATTTAAGTTGTAAACGTTGGGTTGAGAGGATCATGGAATAAGATTATTGATTTGGAGGCTTATGCCTATTATCCCTCTCTCTCTTTACTTCTTCTCTCTTCTTCTTCTCATTCCGTCTTCTTCCTAGAACCTCCCCTGCAACTATCTGTTCTTGGCCTTCCTTATCTCCTAGCTTCCCCTGCTTCTTTCTTCTTCTGCTTCTAAACCTTCTCCTTTCTATTAGTCCTTTGGGTCACACCGCTTCTACCATTCTTCTCTTCCTATTCTTTCTCCTTAAATACCACAACCGAGAACCATAGCTCCCAAGATAGAAAAGGGGCTATTGCCATTGCCGAGCCCCTGGCCAGGAGTCGATCGATCAATCACCCGATCTTACGCGAAAGCACACAACATTTTGGTATCAGAGCCGAAAACCACCGCAGCAATCATGGAAGAGCGTGTTGCCCGTCTCGAAGCTGACTTTAGGGAGTTGATGACGACCCAAGCGACGGTGCTCAGGGAGATGCAAGAAAGTTTTGCAGCGATGAATGCTCGTTTCGATCAGATTGCTCAGCCTGCTCCTAGGATCAACGAAGGGGCCAGAGTCAACCAAAGGAACCAGCCGCAGGCACCAAGGATGAAAATTGAATTTCCCAAATTCAATGGAGTTGACGATCCCACCGTTTGGATTTGCCGGGCTGAACAGTTCTTTACCTACTGCCAAACCCCTGAAGAAGAGAAGGTCCTGGTGGCTTCCATCAATTTGGAGGGAGAAGCACAACTTTGGTTGCAAGTTCAGAGGGAAGGAGGGCAGGAGCTCACCTGGGAGGAGTTCAAACGAGATATGCACACTCGATTTGGCCCAACCCAATTTGAAGATTTCTTTGGGGATCTCACCAAGCTGCAGCAAGAGGGTACCGTCCGTGATTATCAAACACAATTTGAGAAGCTGCTGGTTCGTGCCGGGAATCTGACTCAAGCTCAACAGGTTAGCTGCTTTATTAGCGGTTTGCGGGAGGCCTTGCGGATTGATGTACAAGCATGTAAACCCACAACGTTGACGGCTGCAATTGGTCTTGCAAGGCTATATGAAGCGAAGGGTGTCCGAAACCACACTGCACCATTACCTGTTAAGAAGCTGAGTCCTGCCGAAGTGAACGAACGTCGAGCAAAGGGCTTGTGCTTTAATTGCAACGAGACCTTCCACCCAGCTCATCGTTGCAAGAAGCTGTTCCTACTGGAAGCCGTTGAACGAGGTGGTGATCATGAGTTAGATATGGACCTGGAAGACTCTTGATTCTTGAGGCCAAGAATCCTCTCAAGGAGGAAGGAATGTCACGTGCATTTGGTTGTTTTTAATTTCCAATAATAGTTTAGTTTGTTTCAGCTGTTTAGTTAGCCACGATTCCCACTTGCTGAACGTGGAGTAGGATTAGGGAATTAGTTAGTTTTGGTTCAGTATTTAAGTTGTAAACGTTGGGTTGAGAGGATCATGGAATAAGATTATTGATTTGGAGGCTTATGCCTATTATCCCTCTCTCTCTTTACTTCTTCTCTCTTCTTCTTCTCATTCCGTCTTCTTCCTAGAACCTCCCCTGCAACTATCTGTTCTTGGCCTTCCTTATCTCCTAGCTTCCCCTGCTTCTTTCTTCTTCTGCTTCTAAACCTTCTCCTTTCTATTAGTCCTTTGGGTCACACCGCTTCTACCATTCTTCTCTTCCTATTCTTTCTCCTTAAATACCACAACCGAGAACCATAGCTCCCAAGATAGAAAAGGGGCTATTGCCATTGCCGAGCCCCTGGCCAGGAGTCGATCGATCAATCACCCGATCTTACGCGAAAGCACACAACAAATAGCTTGTTGGTTTCTGAATAACTTTCCAGTATTAATTCCGTGTGCTTCTCTCGTCATTGGGATTTTTCAGATGAAGGCATATCTCTCTAGCTAGCTACTTGAGGATACATCTATATCTATCTTTCTCTCTCTATCTCTCATCAGCTCAGTTGTGCTACTTGATTTCATAACGTCTCTCTTTTTAACCTACTCTATAGTGGTGTAATGAGAGTTTCAGAACTACAACTAGGATGATTGTAATTTACTGAGAGAAAAAAATAAATAAAAATGGCATTCGATTGTCGGATGTGAATTTGGCGAACAATTCATCTCTCATCTTCACCTCCTATTTATAGCCACAAGAAGTAAATTCTTTGTGAAACTACTCGGTTGACGTGGAGAGACAGTTACCCTCTCAACTACTCGGATGATGCCCTAAAATTGATGGTGTTTCCCTTCCCTCCTTACTCTTGAGTCTTGACCCCTCTTTTGGGTACGTAGCTCCTCCTTAACTTTGGATAGTGTAAAAAGGATGACATGACTAAGACACGACGACTCGCGCTCATTATGGCTCAGCATCATTGGCTTCAAGATGAACAATGTACCCATACTTATTGCATCTCACTTTATGTTGATGATTGATGACTTTTTGTTCATAGTGTTTATGACGCTCATAGTTGGTACATTTTCATCTTCCATTAATGCATATCTTTAGTAGATTTCATTATATTTCACATGAATATTGTAAGTATTTAAATTATGTGCTCAAGATATACACAGAGTGTGTTTTTGTGCTATATTACGCCTTTTGGTATTATTTTGTTTGGTTTGGAGTAGGAAGTTATTCCCAGCCCCTAGGCATGGGCTTATACTGTGACCAAAACTTGGATAATTTTCCATTTAACCTGCTTTGGCTGCTAAACAACCAAAACCATGTCACCATATGTATTACTTTAGTTCCTCTCTCATTAGTAATCAACTTCGGTCGATCCAACTTTCTTTCTTACTCTTCAACATCGTCGTATGTAATTTTTTTTTTATTACTTAAAACGCTTAGGCGCCGCCTAAGCGTCCTAGGCGCTTGGCAGGACCCCAACGCCTGTCTAGTACCTTCTTGAACCTTAATTCTAACACTATCATTCGATTTCGAACTATCATACGTACACCATATTCCGCACATATCCAACACAAAATTGTTTTCCGTATCAAACTACTATTAGTATATCCTAGTCCATGGTGTTGAAATTATTTTTGTATACTCTCTCTGATTTTGGGAGACTCTTCCTTCCACGTACGGTTCCTGGTTTCAACCTTAGTTCCTCCCGAAACTATTGGCGCCAGTTTCTCATCCTCCCTAAACAGATCTCGCCAACAAAAAACAAAAAAAAAACAAAGAACTTCGTTGCACAAGCAGCCCTAGAACGACAGAAAATCAGATTGTTCAAACATTTGACAGAAGAAGATAAACAGGAAATGGAATTGGAGACGACACAGAGATATGAAAAACCAAACCAGAAGAACCCACTCATTTGATTGAAACGAGATTAAAAAAGAACAAATCTTTCCAATAGAATCCTTCATCCAATTTTGTGGGCTTTTGGTTTTCAAATCCCCTACGAGGTTGGTTCAACTGGGTTGGGAGAAAATAAGAAAACCCATGAATGAGTTCAAAGGCGATGACCAAGAGCCCTACAAGCTCCAATCCTAGCACCCCTGATAATTCTGCCAGGGGCGGCGACAAGAAGAAGAAAGTAAAGTGAAGTGATTAACCCAATTTCGTTTATTACTTTCTTCACATTGATCCGATTTCAGAAAATGGGATAAATATATATTATGTGCAGTCAATAATCCCAAAGATCTTCAGCTCAAAGAAAATCAACAGGGGAGGATCCAACGACGATATTCTTGGATCAGATGCCGAAGCCCCCACCCCATCCCCAGAAGATAACAAAGATACAACCAAGAGAAAATCGTTGGTGGATTCCCCTGCTTTAATGCGCAAAAACTTCTCAGGTACCGTACACTCTGTTTTCTGAAGCTCAGGACTTTAAACCGATTAAGCTTTCTCGTAGATCAATTGACAGAAAGTACCGAGGAATAGGAATGGAGGCCTGGTGGGTCATCGAATTTGAATTGGGTTGAGTGGAATCTTATGGGATTGTTATTACGAAATTTTTTATCATTCACTCATGTTGTAAGTAAGAACATATGGTAAATGACAGTTTGTTTCCATTGCCATCAGAAAGAGGGACGAGTCCTGGAATCGAAGGTCTGAACCTGTCCAACTTCGAGCAGTCCATGACCTCTACAACTGAAATCAAAGAATTTCGGTACCCAAAAACAAACTCCCTCTCGCGTTCACGGTTGCTTGTCGATTCTGGGTTTGACTAGACTGATGTTACTATTCCATCTAACATTAACCAACAAAAGCGTATCAGGATCTATGTCGCGACATGGAACGTTGGAGGCAGGACACCCGACGCCAGCTGGAACCTCGAAGATTTCCTCCAAGTAGATGAAACTCCTGACTTATACATTTGTGGGTATGATTGTGGTTAAGAAAATGTAATATCCAACGCTAATTAATAGTTTGATTATTTGCTAGCTGATCTCCACTTCACTTGCTTCAGGTTTCAGGAAATTGTCCCTCTCAGCGCAGGAAATGTGCTTGTGATTGAAGACAGCGAGCCAGCGACAAAATGGTTGGCACTCATAAGCCAAACGATCAACAGGACGACGAACTGCAACATCGTTCCCCCGGGATCTCCAGTTTCAGGTCAACTTTCATCCAATGCTCAAAACAAGGATGCAAAGTCCCATAACTTCTTCAACAAGCAATCAGTCAAGGTCCTGACGAAGAACCTCAGGGTAGACGCCAGCCTTCTGAAGATCTGCAACTGCGCCAGTGATCTTCCCACGCGAGATAGGCAGCAGCGTGGGAGAGAGTTCAGTGGGCCGCTGACCAACCGAGGCATGGGGAGTCAGGATTTCGGGTTGGATGATGAATGTCCTCCTAACGAACCTGCACCGTCCCCTGGTTCGAACACCAACCAGATGGTCTATAGCCTCGTAAGCTCCAAGCAAATGGTCGGGATTTTTCTGTCGGTTTGGGCTAGGAAGGAATTGGTGCCACACATTGGTCATCTCAGGACTTCTTCATGTGGGACTGGGATCATGGGCTGCCTAGGCAACAAGGTTAGTTATCAGTACTAATTGAACCAGAAGCTGAATTTGCCAAATGGGACAACTGGTTCAAACGCATTCAAGTAGGTAAAATAGTGTCAGTCTTCTAAATAAACCCAACCAAACAACCTGCAGGGATGCATAGCGATAAGCATGTCATTGCACCGGACGAGCTTTTGCTTCGTGTGTAGTCATTTGGCGTCAGGGGAAAAGGAAGGCGACGAACTGAAGAGGAATGCCGATGTTTCTGAGATCCTGAGGAGCATTCAGTTCCCCAAGATATGCAAGAACCAAATCAACCGAGCACCGGAAAAGATTACCGGGCACGAGTAAGTTGCTCTTGTTCCTCTGTTGTCACACCTTCACCAAAATCTCGTTCACATTGGTTATTTCTGTGTACATCTAATCTTTATATGTTTCAGTACCCTTTCTTTCTGTTGAAACACCTGCAGTCGAGTGTTTTGGTTCGGGGACCTGAACTACAGGATATCGCTGAGCTACGAGGAAACCAAAGTCTTACTTGAAGAGAATGATTGGGACACCCTTCTTGACAGGGATCAACTTAACATGGAGAGAGAAGCAGGGAGGGTGTTCGATGACTTCTGTGAAGGAAGGATTCTGTTTGCTCCCACTTACAAGTACTCACTCAACTCGGATTTGTACGCGGGAGAAACGGTGAAGAACAAGAAGAAACGCAGAACCCCTGCCTGGTAAAGATTAACATACAGAATCATCACATTGCATTAATGTGCAGAAGACGATGTTCATGATGATGATGACTTCTGCGCAGGTGCGATCGAGTGCTATGGCGCGGAGAAGGGGTGGAGCAAATGTCGTACATAAGAGTGGAGTACAGATATTCGGATCACAGGCCGGTTTGCGCAATCTTCTCAGTAGAGGTGGAAATGAGCGCTACAAGAAGCAATAACAACAGGTTCAGAAAAGGCTATTCTTGTACAGCTCCAAGAGTTCGATATGATAATGACTGTAGTAACCCCCAAAGACACAACTTCTATGGCTACTAACTAACTAATATCATCCCAAAAACAGCAGAAAAAGGGTTAAAATGGTGAAACCCCTATTGGGAACAACATATATAGACTTTCTTCTTCTCAACTCTTGAATAGCATTTCCCCCCACTGAAACTAGGTCTCCCTCTGTAAACCTCCAATTCCAACTCTCTCGTTCATGTGCAACCATGTCGATATAATGCACCGAATTCCACTGAAACCCTCTTCCCGCATTTGCTTCATTTGATTAGATTTTAGCTGGGGCTAGTTGGTTCCACATAACCCAAATCCCAGATCGAAGTTGAATCTGCACCATTATTGTGATTATGATCATCCAACAGTGATGGATACAGATTCAAGTCCAATTCATGTTCCGACCTCCCAAACCCTAACCCTGTTGTCTCCTGCGGCAATCCCAGTTCTTCAATTCCGCTACCGCTGCCACTCCAGTACTCCGAAGCTTCCTCTGTTTCCATCGACAACGGTTCGCCTCCGCCGTAGACATTAACACTTTCCAGCACCATATTAGCCCAATCGGTCACGCTCAGCTCGCTACTCGCTTGAGCTGTAACCATCGGCGGGCTGAGCAACGGATTGTGATTGCTCAGCAGAGGATAGTAGTCGTCGCCATCGCTGCCGCTGGTTTCCAAGCTTGTGTCCGTCTCGAAAGGAAGCTTCTCCGAAAAAGCGCAATCCAATTGGTGGCCCGATCTGGTGTTCTTGTCTGCAAACCCTAGCCCCGGCTTGCTCTGCGGGCACACTTCGTTCTGGCAGGGATACAGAACCTCCTCCTCCTCCGCCGCCGCCTCTCTCCCGAAATTGCCCTTCCTCTTCTCCGCCAAAACGGAGGAGGAAGTGGAAGAAGAAGAGGAAGGGTCTGTTTCCGAGATTCGGAGGCTGTTGCTCAGCTGCTCGCCGAGAAGAGCTTCCTCCTCAGTAACGACGTTAGACCAAATCGCCGTCTCCTTCGCCGTCATCTTGTCCTGCAGGCACTTGGAGTGCCTCACCAGCCGCCGCATCCGGTGGAAATCCGGCGCCATGTGCTTAATCACCGCCGTCAGCAGGCTCACCTTCCACGACTTCTTGAGATCGTGCGGCTTCCGATACGGCGGCGGCCCCTGCTCCTTCGCCGCCGCCTCCTGCTGCTCCCACCAGATCTCGTCCCCGGTCGGCCACCACGGCGGCGCCAGCCCCCTCTCCAGAGGGAACCGCCGCTGCGGCGGCGCGCAGTGCTGCATCAGCGCCGAAATCAAGGACCCCAGCGTGGTGTCCTGGAGCTCGTTGAGGCGGTGGAGGTAGGTAGCCGCCGCGGCCGCGACGGCGGGAGGCACGGCGGAGGATTGGAATTGGACGATGGCCTCGGGTGCGGAGTGGTCGAACCGCACCGCCTCTTTCCACCAGCTGCGGAGGCTGTCGGAGGATCCGCTCACCGGTTTCCCCTTCTCCGGTATGATCCCGTAGACGAAACCTTGACCCTTGCAGACCTCCATGATCTTGACCATGTATTTCAAAATCGAGTCCTGCGCACGAGCCATCTTCTTCCTCCTCGAAGCTTCCTGTTTACTCGTGGAGGAAGAACACGAGGCCGTTTCCGGCTTCAGCGCCAGCTCCTTTGTCGTAGCAGCAGCAGTCCCTCGATTCTCTTCGAACTTCTGGAGCCGTAATCGATCCTTCCACATCCGCCTCTTCAGCTCATCGTATCCAATCGGCTCCTCCGCCTCTGCCTCCGCCGCCGCAGCTTCCCCTGATTCCGCCGCGTCTACCAGCTCTTCTTCTTCCTCTGCTTCTAGAACATCCGAAATGGATGGCTCGTCAATTTGCACCATTCTCTTTTTTGTTTTTTACTGAAATTTTCTGTACCGACTTGCAGACCCCGGAAGGGGGTTCGTCCCTAAATAGTGTCGTCGCCCAAACTATGACAGAGGTATAGGTGGAAGAGTGATTGGTGGCCATGGCGGTGGCGGTGGCTGGGGAAAAAAGAGTCGGAGAAATTTGAAAAAACTGGGGGAAGCAAAAAAGGACAAAGGAAATTAAATGATGAGTTTTTGGGTTATTTTAAGAGGTTAAACTTCTGACTTTGGGATATTTGTTGGGGGCGGTGGAGGGGGGAAGAAGGGTTGCAGAAAACCAGGTGGGAGAGGAGGGGGATGAATGGAATGAGCTCAGAATTTTCATGTGCTGCACATGGTTTGGCGGGGTGAAAGGGAAGAAGACGACGAGCGTTGCTTTTTGCGTCGAGCAGCAGCTGCTGGCGCCTGGCGCGATGATGATGATGGCGGCCCAGTTAGTTTATTTTCTTAGTGCTGAATCATTTTGGTTCAATTAAGAAGAGTGTGATGGCAACTAATTCAATGAAACTACCCAGTTTGAAAAAGGGGTGGTAATGGCGTCAGAGAAGGTCGTCACTGCAAAATGGGGCTAGGCATCTCTCTCACTTCGTTCAACCATATCATTATTTCGCGCCATTACTTAGCTATGGCGGATGGGTGACGTGGGTGAAAATGTCATCCGTGCATAGGAAAATGAGACTATGATCGAAGATCGTTATCTTGTGATTTCTCCTCTCTGTAAGTTTGGGTTGAGAAGCCTTTCTCCTTGGCAAAATGTCTTCGCCCAATTGTTCATTGAGCATTTGAGCCCATCGATAAAAAAAAACCCCACTTCCTTTGCGATAGATATTTTGAAAAGAAGGTCAGATACGAGTGAAGTGAGTATACAAGTTCCGTGTAGTTCGAATCTCGAAATGGAAAGAAAACAAGGCACAAGGGTGATGGTTAAACCATCGATAAAAAAGTTTTTTTTCCACGATATAAGATTCTTTTGAGTACCTTTGCAGCAAGTACAAAATATGTGACATAGCTTCAAGCCTTCAACCCTTTGCACGAAAAATGTCATGGACCGAGCCCTATGTAAGATAAGAGCAGAGCGACGAACTCATACAAATTTATGAGATTCAATGACAAATAGATCCTCATTATTGTCTAAGAGTCAGGAGTTTGCATTCAATAAAGATTCACAAAGTTTTGCAACAAGAGTCTTCCTTTTTCAAAGCCAAGATTCTTAACATCAGGCATGCCAGATTTGGTAATCCATCATTATCTATAATGTGAGATGTTAAACGAGTTGTAATTAAGTACTTTTGCCTTTTATACAACATTATGAGTTATGACATTTGTCATTTGGCTAAACAGCAAGGATTGCCTCTCCAACTTAGTACTTATGGCAGTTCTCACATATATATAAACACTTATACGTGTTGACATTTGGGGTCACTCAATACTATTTCAAGACATGGTTTTTCATACTTTCTCACAATAGTGGATGATTACACTAAAGTTGTTGGGGTTTTTCGTTTTAAATCCAAAGGAGAAGCTAGTTCAACACTCCATTCCTTTTGCATTATGGTACATAACCAGTTTGATGTATCCGCCAAACCATACGATCAGATCAAGGTCAAGAGTTTTCCATGGCATATTTTTACACGACACATGATATTGTTCATGAAATGAGTTGTTTCTATACAACAACCAAATGGTTGAGGTGGGAGAAAATACCAACACCTCTTAAATGTTGTTAGATCATTGAAATTTCAGTCTGGTTTACCATTAATTTACTGAAGTGATTTTATTATTCATGTTGCCTACTTAATCAATAAAACACCTACACCTACATTTACACAAAGTGCCCCCAGATTACATGAGTTTAAAAGTGTTTGGTTTCTCCAACTTAATACTACTTTTGTTGGTCACAAATATAAGTTTGATTCAATTAAAGCAAAATAGTATTTTGAGGGATACCTACTAGTATTAGGGGTTTTTAACTCTTAAATATTGAAGGAAGTATGCATAGAACTTATGAAAGAAGTTGGATTTGATCAATGCAAACCGATCAAAACTTCTTCTAGTGTCAAACAAGTTCTTTCAACCAGAAAAGCATCTTCTTGTCATCATCGAGATTTTCAAACATTTGTCGGGACAACTTCAGAAACTCAATAGCACATACGAGACATTAAATTTTAAGTTCAACAACTATGGTAATTCAGGATTCACCTAATACTTTGCACCTTACTGTCGCAACCGGGGAGCTCAATTAGTACGATATTGCCCGCTTTGGGCCAAGTCCGCACGGTTTTACTTTTGGGTGTCCTCCCCAAAAGGCCTCGTACTAATTGGGCTAGGTGGACACTAATATACAAGGGTTCCTTCCCTTATATATCCGTTGTGGTACTTGGATTGTCCCATAACAATCCTCCCCTCAAGACAAGGACCACGAACTTCGTGTCCTCACCTGTCACCTCAGCGATTATCTTGATCCGCTAGACACCTTGTATCGATGGGCTTCTCGGTACAAGGATTTTCCCAGACGCAGAACTCTCTTTGATCCGCCAAATAGACGTGGATCTCTCTTGGATCCACCAAACAGCCCAGACGCAGAACTCTTTTTGATCTGCCAAACAGACACGGGTCGCAATTCCCGAGGCCACCAAACGAGGGTCCACCAAACTTATGTCCACCGCCCCGGATCCGCCGAACCAGACTCTGATACCACTTGTCATAACCGGGCTACTCATTAGTACGATATTGTCCGCTTTGGACCAAGCCCGCTACAACAAACGGACCTTTTAGCGATGGGAACAGTCGTCGCTAAAGACGTAAATATCTGTCGCAGAAAGAAAGGGCGACGAATTGGTCGTCGCTGAAGGGATTTAAGTTTTGTCGCCTATACCGCGTCGCCTTTGGTATTGGCGACGAATTTTTAGACATCGTCGCTGAAGGTTGCATCCGTCGCAAACAGGATTACTCTTCCGCGATGAAATGTTCGTCGCAGAATGTGTGATGGAGCGACGAAAACCTCCGTCGCAGAAAAGTGAGGATTCTGCGACGATATAATTTGTCGCAATAAATTGGCTTCAGCGACAGAACCTTTTGTCTCAAATAGGCCATCGACAGAATACGTCGCCGCTGAAAATGTAGCTTTGGCGACGAAAGATGTCAGTAGCTTTTTGGCGACGATACGTCTTCGTCGCTAATATCTGAACTTTCAGTGTATATATCTATTTATAATACCGAATCTTTTTATTTTATGTACTATTAAATTAGTAACCTGTTAGAGCAAAAAAGACCTCTGCTGAACCATTTCCAATAAATTACCACTAATATATACAATATAGTTTTTGCAGGTAGCTATAGATCTACGACAATAATAAAAAAGATTAGCTTGCATCCAGAATTAAATAAACATGAACGAAATCATTCAACAACCAAAATCTAAAAAATGAAGCAGCTATATATCTACTTGTAACTGTAAGTTTTCCTCCGAATCTTCAAGCATTCTTGTGGGTCTTCCAAAACTTTGTTTACATGACCAAGTCTCTCCCTCCAAAAGATTATGCAGCGACTATGGTGCAAAACAAGACAAAAGTCAATCAAAGGAAAGAGTTTGTGAACATAACCTTGATGATAAAAAAAATTCTAACTCCTAACTCATCTAATTCCATCCATGACAAAATTCTACAACTAATCAACAAGATAGACATATGTAATTAACATGTCTAAAGCATTACAAAGTAGTAAGTAGACAAAGTACCCCCACAATATGAAAGCCAATCACAACATAAAAGCTTTCCGAGAGATAGATATAGAATCAAATTTTAATCTCATTGGAACCATTTCAAATCACACATCCAGAACTATTAAAATCAAAGTTCACTCGTGTTAAAAGCCTTAATTAACCTACAAATCAATGCAACACATAACGACTTAGGACTCGTTCGGGCATTTGCAATGTCCACGATGCAGTATTTCTACACAGCCATTCTAGCATTTCATAACATAACTCTTACCTTTGTAGCTGAGTGGTCAAGGGAATATGATTGATGCTTCATTCTGTATCCTATACAGCTCCACCATAAGCAAATGAGTAGCAATTTGGAAGACATTTAAAAAAAAAAACTGGAACGCCTTAGATCCCGAAACTGGCAGCGGAAGCATAACAATCACAAGATGTAATGTTCATGATAAACAAAAACAAGGAATCAACAGAAACCTATAATGCATGCTTGTGCGGTGAATATGATGCGGATAGGAAGAAGTATTCACTGGCTTACAAAAATCCAGCTGGTACAAAAATTGGGTCAAAAGCTAAAACACACTTTTCCAATATAACTTATGAGACACTAAAAGCTAAAACACACTTTCACCTTCTTTAAGTTAAAAATAAGCAAGATAAGCGAGATACAAAGTGAGACCAACTAAATCAGGCTCAAAAAGGAAAACGAGAAAGCCTTGATAATTTGTGGATGGAACTTGGTGAGTCACAAGCTCACAGATGAAGCAAGCTAACTTACACCAAGTTAAATAACCAGGTTGAGTACGAGCAGCATTAACCAGATTTAGTCTATAGAGAGTTAGCAAAAATGGGATGGAAATCAGTATGAGAAAAGTGAGCAGAGATACTAGAGAAGAAAAGGTTCATGTTGGGATCAACCTGTTCACGAACTGAAGCGAAGGGCGTTGATGAAGTATGAGAGGTGGTGAACATCTGTTGTAAGATGCTGGCACTTACTGCATTAGCCAACATTAAGGATCTCAAAGCCATAATTTTATTTAGTGTATGCCCATCAAAGCCATCTAGTTTGCTCGTGGATAGCTAAGTGTTTCTACTCTGAATCTCCATCTCTACAGAAGCAATAACTAGATGTATCTATATATATTAGGGAGAACGAAAGTGACTCTATCCTTAATTGCATATGTGGATTTACAGGGCTTAATTAATTCAACATACATATTTGGAACATGATAAAACACAAGTCGATTTCGAACATACACGATACAACACAGATCGTGTTAATGATAGTGAAACTTTCGTGTTAATGACATTGAAATTGGTCTATAATTTGGGCAAACACCCACCAAGACTTGGATCCAAGAGAGAGAAAATTCACATAAGAGTAAGCATATTACTTGATCCCTTCTACTGTGGCCAACCCAACAAATAGGGGTGGGATTCGGTCGGTAAACGGTAAATTGTTTACCGAATTTACCGGTTTGTAACCGGTTTATCGATTACTCAATTACCGGTAAACGGTTACAAACCGGTATTACTGAAATACCGTGAGAAGCGATTTCGGGCGGTTTTTCGGTCGGTTTACCGAATATTTACCAAACCGAATTTCTGGAAGTGGGGTGATGTTGTAATATTTTGATTTTTTTTAGTTTTTTTCATCATTTTTGTAATTAATAATTTATTATTAACTCTTATTTACAATATTTTTTAGGCCTATACTTACTTACATTCATGTATGTAATATTTTATATTTGTGAATAATGATGTATATGTTATATGTTAGTGGAGTAGGGAGGGGGAATTTCGGTATCGGTATTACCGATTTACCGTCGCTATTTACCGGTATCGTGTCCGGTAAACCGACTCCCCCAACTTCCCGCTCGACTACCGATACCGCCGGTTACCGGTTCGCTAAAACGGTAAACCGTTTACCGGATTACCGTTTACCACCCCTACCAACAAACACACCCTTCTCGTTTTAACCATGAAAGTAAGCAAATTTTGACAACCCAAGCACTACAAAACAAAAGCATAAACAAAACCATTATTGTTCCAATGAATTTTCAAAATGCATACTTGAGATGACAGGAAGCGTAGCTTCTTGACCGCAAGAGGGTTTCAGGGTGGAAGCCAGCCGCTAAACACAAAGAGAAACACACAACACAAACTCTAATAAGCACATGAACCCTATAATCATGACTTGGTCTTCTGTTCCAAGAGAAAGAGAGAAGTGAATACCTATGTTACTTTCCCAACCGGAGATTGCAGTTTAGAGGGAGTAGACAGGGGAACGAAATTCGCCACTTATCCAGCGGGCGAATTGGAGCTAGCACAGGAAAAAGGCTCTGCTACTGTCGCATTTCTTGAAACCCGTCAGCTCCCAAGCCATTCAATGGCGAATCTATAGACCTGATACCACCTGCTTCTGTTGTGCATGTTAAATGAGGAAGAGAAACCCAAAGTGAAATACAGGAAAGAAAAACTTAGTGAAAACCTAGATTATTCGAGCGTTCATCCCACCTTGAGTGTCGCGAGTCGCGTCGACGATGGGAGCTGAGATGCTGATGAAGAAAGCGAGCGGCGGGATAAACAGCTACGACCTCCAATGCCGACGATGATGATAAGGCAAGCGGTAATGGTGCTGGATTTGTAGGAGTCAGATTGATTAGGAGAAGAAAGCTGTCGATGAAAAGCTAGGGATTTTTTCCCCAAAGAAGGCCTTTGGCGGAGACATGGAACACGATAGGAAGAGGGAAAGGGATTGAACTTCATTGCTTTGGTTAAATTACTAATGGCCTTGAACGATGTCGTTGGGTCGACAAAGAAAAAGGCGCAAGAAACATTTCGAAACGCAGAGCGAAACTCACAAGTTTCAAAGGGAAAAACAACCTTGTTCACCAAACCAAAACGACGTCGTTTTATCCTTCATTGGCTGAACCTGTTCTGCGAGGAAAAGTAGTCGTCGCTATATCCTCCGCATTTCCATCGATGAAAGATTTCGTCGCCATACCAATCACACTCCCTCTCTGATAAAGTCAAGACATTCAGCGACGAAAAAAGATATATCGTCGCAAAAACATAAACTTCAACGACGAAATTGCCTTCGTCGCTCAAATTTTCGTCGCTAAAGGTAAGCTTTTTTGTAGTGCACGGTTTTACTCTTGGGTGTCCTCCCCAAAAGGTCTCGTACTAATGAGCTTGATGGACACTAATATACAAGGGTTCCTTCCCTTATATATCCGTTGTGGTACTTGGATTGTCCCATAACACTTACGATATTGCATAGTGTTTTTTTAGATATGTTAAAAATTTACTAGGACTAGGTGTTTTCTACTCCAATGATTCATTTATGCAGATGGCATGATATAGTGATTCACACTAGAGGCAACTTTTCCATACTCCAAATACAAAGAGATCTTTGACATGTTTCTATGTCTTTTTTGAGAACAAGATTGATAAGTTGGAAGGCAAAGAAATAAAGTATAGTTTAAAGGTATTCCTCTTAAGTTAATTAGAGGGAATTGGCTCTCTTGAGTTGTGAGGTTCAATGATTGATTAGGTTGATATGGATCATTCATATTCAACAAAGTTTTTTTTTGTGACAGTTACTCAGCCATCCACATTGCAAGAAACCATGTATTCATGAACGAACCGAACACATAGAGGTTAAATGTCGTGAATATAACGACATTCTAAGTGTCGAGGGCTTGAAAGGATCCTTAGTTGTTTATGAAGAAAGAAGTGGACGACAAGTTTTGACCATGTGTTGAAGAAATGTTAGCATTCTGTCCCAAATCGAAAAGCAGAGATAGACTTGGAACGTCGTCATTTCTATTGGTCGAGCGAATCATTAAGAATAGGATGTCATTGCTTTCTTTGTTAGTTAGTGATTACTATTGGTTAGCCGTTTGTTTATCATTTCATTGTTAATGTAGCTAGTCTGGATATATTGTGAAAAATCAGAAAACGAATACCTCAAGTTTTGAGATCTCTTTGCAAAAAACCTTAGTAGCTTTCTTCTTTCGACCCGGGAAACCAGTTGAGCATAGGGTTGTCAATACAAGTTCATTTTTTTGGTTTTAACCGAACCGATAAGATATTTTATCGGGTTTCATTTTTTTGGTTTCGGGTTTGGCTTAAAATCTGAAGTCATATCAATTCTTCATATTCCATAGTGTGCTTTGGTTTTCGGGTTTCGATTTTACCTTACTCGAACCCGAAACCGTTAAGAGAGTTTTTTTGTTTCGGTTTCCAAATGATAGCGGTTTTCGGGTTTTTAGTTATTTTGGGTTTAGGTTCGGTTATCCGAACCCGACCCGACACCTCTAGTTGAGCATGGCCCTGCCCGGAAAGCAGCACAGGTTCCGACGAAGAAAAAGGAAGGCAACCAAAATGCCATTTCTGCTATGCTGCTGGGTCCCGTCCGGGTCCTGTGTCCGTTGGTTGTATCACCTTTCCCTTTTCCCAACGCCTGGCCTGACAGGCAAAGGGTTTCCCTCGCTCGCTCGCACCATTTTTTCCCTCCACTCTCTGCCTCTACCTTAACGCTGCGCGGCACTCACTCTCACCCTCTCTCCTTGCCGTTTGCTCCTGAAGAGAGACAACTCTGCCTTTCCCGTTTTCCTTCTTTGTCTTTTCTTCTCCCTTCTCTCCCTTCTTTCTTGAGCCGCACCCATTATCGAGGCCCCCACTTTTCCATCTGCCCTTGCTTTCTCCCCTTTCTCCACTCTCACTTCTTTGCTCACTGGAGAATTCCTGTTCTGGGTTCTCTCTCATTCTGTTTCCCCGTCCTCCATTTTCCCATTTTGGGTTCCACTTCTGCAATTCCATCCTTCCCCTGTTTCCCCACCTCTCTCTCTCCGTAGCATTCATTGCTATTTCGACTGCCACCTTCAGGTTTCCGTTTAACACCCTGCTTCTGTCCCTCCCGTTTTTATGACTCTGCTTCCACCTCAACTACCTCCGTTTGCATAGCATTGATTTCCCACCACTACTACGTCCGTCTGCTCCTCTGTTACCCTGCTGCCGCCATTGAAGCTGCCTCTCCCATCTTTGCTCTCGCTTTCCCCTTCCTCTTTCCTCCAAACCCTCAATTTTCTTCTGGGTCTTCTGCCGTTCCATGCCCTACGCCTTATGCAGCAGCTTAGCTAACTTCAGTTCGGGAGCTTTTTTCTTCAACCATCTGTGGGGAAAGGAAAAAGAAACAGAGACAAGTGAAACAAAGAATGGGTACCACGAGCTCGAAGCAGGAGAAAATTGAAGCATTACGCCTGTGCAAAGAGCGGAAGAGGTTCATAAAGCAAGCAATTGATTCCAGGTACAATCTTGCCGCAGCTCACGTCTCTTACATCAACTCCTTGAAAAACATCGGCATAGCTCTCCGCCGCTTCGCCGAGGCCGAGGTGCTCATCGAGTCCTCTCTTTCGACTGCCTCCGTCACCGAGCTCGACAATGACAAGTCTCCTTCACACTCATCCTACCCTTCACCTTCCCCAACCCACCATGCCGACGCTTCCGACTCGCCGTTCGACGCCGCCGTCTCCCCGCCGGTGATGCACGTCAGCTACATGAAATCCGCAGGCGGCGGCGGCGGCACTGCTGCTACTGCGGTCACGGTCAAACTCAGTAATGTGCAGAATGCGAATAGGATTAGCGTTGATGGGTTCGACGAAGATGAGGGTTTGGTATTCTCCATGCCAATGCCGCCCCCGCCCCCGCCTCCGCCGTTTAGTGGGTCTTGGGACTACTTCGACACCAGTGATCATTCTGAGAGCTTTATGTTTCCGGCGCAGAATGAGTTGGGGTTTGACTTCCATGACACGAGAAAGTGGAATGGAAGGGTTTCGAGTGATGATCATGGTATAATAGATGCTAAGGGGAAATTGGCACAGTCTGGTTTTCTAGATGGTAGTATCACTGCTCAAGCTCCCGCTAATGGTGACAATGCAAGGCATGGAGTGGAGGGAAATGTTCCGAGGATCTCAGGTGCGAAAGAAAGCTATTCAATGAGGCCCAAGGGAGGTGAAGAAAGACAGCCAGATACAGTGAGGAAGGCTTGCAATGGGCCATCCGTTGAAATCTTAGTTGCAAAGAAGGAGAAAGCAACTGTATTGAAAGGTTTATCAGCAGAAGAGAGAGAAGATCCTTCTGAGTTCATTACCCATAGAGCTAAGGATTTTCTTTCGAGCATAAAGGAAATTGAACATCGTTTCTTCAGGGCATCCGAATCAGGGAAGGAGATTTCCAGAATGCTTGAAGCTAATAATATCAGGGTAGGATACTCTGAGCCAAAAGGTAACTACATCACTGCAACACTTTCTAGATGTTTCTAGGTGATTGGAATTGTTTTTGAGTTACAGGTGTTAGTTAGGAACCTATTTTTGCTGGAATGTCCTCTAGAAACGTTCTAAAGGGAAATCTGAATGTACAGGAAAGTCTTCTGCAATATTGGTTCTGGAAGCTTTCAATCTTGTTTGCTGTCAGGGAAGGACTGCACTTGTTTCTAATGGTAAATCCTTGTTTCCCTCTTCAGCTCTTCAGCCATAGGTCAGTGAACTCAGTAGTTAACCTTTTCTATGTGCCTCTGCCAGAACCTGGGGAAGATGTAACGAAGGTCATAACTTGGAAGAGAACAACATCATCGAGGTCATCCTCGTCTCGAAACCCACTCACTAATGGGGCAAAAGATGATGATGTCTCTGATAGTGGTAGCGAATTTATTGAGGAGTTCTGCATGATTTCAGGAAGCCATTCCTCCACCCTTGACCGACTCTATGCTTGGGAGAGAAAACTCTATGATGAAGTTAAGGTACAACACTCCTGCAAGTCCGTGCTTGATATCAGTTTTTTGTGGGGGATGCTATATCATTGTTCAGAAAGTAGACAACTTTGAACTTCTCATTGAACTTGAACTGACTTTAGTCACATATTCACATTATTGCATTCTGCTCTAGGCCAGTGAATGTATTAGGAAAGAGTATGATCAAAAGTGTGATAAGCTGAGACACCAATTTGCGAAAGATCATAGTGCTCATGTTATCGACAAGACTAGGGCTGTTGCGAAAGACCTACACTCAAGGATAAGAGTTGCAATTCATTCTGTGGACTCCATATCAAAAAGAATCGAGAAGATTAGAGACGAAGAACTGCATCCTCAACTCCTGGAGCTAGTTCAAGGGTAACATTAATAGCAAGCTTGATAATCCATTAGCCTGTTAATTTGGTGCTTGTTGTTTACCAGATTTTGTGACAGTAAAAAATGTGCATGACAGGTTAATCCGGATGTGGAAGGCTATGCTGGCATGCCACCATGCACAGTACATTACCATCTCCTTAGCATACCATTCGAGAAGTACTACAACGACAGCGACAACACCACAAGGAGACACCCGACGGCAAGCCTTGTCCCAGTTACTGCAAGAGATCGAGTGTTTTGGATTGGGGTTTGCAAACTGGGTCAACAGTCATACATCATATGTTCAAGCTCTTAACGGGTGGCTGCTGCACTGCATCATGCAACAACCACAAGAGCGATCGAAGAACAGGAGGCCTTTCTCCCCACGCAGAGCTCTGGCCCCACCTATCTTCGTTCTCTGTCGAGATTGGTCTGTCGGCATCAAATCCTTGCCATCTGAGGAACTCAGCAATGCGATAAAATCATTTTTGGCCGAGGTGGACCAGTTGATGCATCATCAGCAGAGGGTAGTAAAGAATGATGGTGATGGAGCCCAACAAGAAACAGATTCCAAAGTTGATGGTGAGAAGAATAACGATGATGTATCTGCAAACTTGAGTTGCATCCACGCCAGTCTAGCGAAGGTTCTAGATAGACTAAACAAGTTCTCTGAAGTTTCTCTGAAAATGTACGAGGATATTCGGCAAAAGAGTGAAGCTGCGCGAGTTGCATACTCGACTTGCAGACCGGTTAGATTCTGAAGCTGTCGGTAATCACGATATGTTTAAGCAGGCAGCATTTTGATTTCGGTAGAGATCTTTAATGAAAATATTACTAATGTGAATTTCAAGTACCGGAATTTAAGTTATTGAGAGTTGAAATAGAGAATGTCTAATTGCAAAGTAAACTATTATATGTTCATTCACATCTCAAATACTATACAATGTATTTGATATCATTAACCAATCCAAATTGGTTTAACGATCACCATCCCCAACCAATCTTCGTCTTGCCCAACCATGATACATTATGTGCATAAATATAATCATGTACGAGTATCACGAAGATGGTGATTGGTGATCATGCAATTCTACCTTATGGTCATAACAATACAGGAACCAGAACATATAATTCAAATATATATATGGTGACTACTTCGGTGCACTCACAAAAATGAGTGCGTTCAATGCACCCAACTTAAAAACTATTCTTAAGGTATCGGATTTTGAATTTTAATTTATAGAATTAGTGTAATATGATGATATAAAATATGATAACTAATTAGCAGATTACCCTAAGCCCTAGACCTCCAATTTTGAGTTATATTCCTAAACCACAAATTGTAAACCCTACCCCTAACCCTAAATCTCTAAACTCTAAATCCTTCAAATTAAAGTAAGTCTTTAAAGGTTTTGTGCAAATTAATGTGTGTTATTGTTCATCACGTCATAAGTGATGATTGACAACATTGTGACATAAATCGTATGTTTAAAATGATGGTTATGAAGCGAGTGCACTGAATGCACTAAAAAAAGTGAGTGCACCGAAGACGCCACCACACACACACACATATATATATGGCAAAGGCTAGCGTACGCCCGGACGTACACTAGCCTATTGTACGCCTGTTGAGTTTTGCTACTTAGACAATGAATTAACAGGAGTTTGGGGCATGATACTATACCCTAACCCCTAATGGGTGAACCCCAATCCGCAATTCACTAACCCAAAGCATACTATTCATTTAATCTTGAAATGAAAATCAACGGTTCCGATTCGTCGAAATTATTGTTGATTTTCATTTTAAGATTAAACGAATTTCATGATTTGGGTTAGAAAACTAGGGACTGGGGTTTATCCATTAGTGGTTAGGGTATAGTATCATGCCCAAAACTTCGGTTAATTGATGATCTAAATAGCAAAACTCAAACAGGCGTACGGTAGTCTAACGTACGCTAGCACCCAACTCTAAAAGTGGCTATAATACATCAAATTTTAAATTTTTGTTGGTAGCATTAGTCTAATATGATGATATAATATAAAATCTCAACTAATCAATCCATTACCCTAACCCCTTAACCTTCAATTTTGAATCTCAAACCAAAATCCCAAATTGTAAACCTAAACCCTAACCCTAAATCATTAAATCCTAAATTCTTCAAATTAAAGTAAATCGGAATGAGTTTTTTGCAAATTCACGTGTTTCTTGTTCATAATATCATAAGCTACAACTGATACCGTTTTGACATGAATTGCATACTTGGAATGATGATTATGAGGCGAGTGCATTGAGTGCACCGAAAAAAGTGGGTGCACCGAATATGCCATCATATATATATATATATATATATATATATATGGAACATCGGAAGGAACCGAAACATATATTGCCACATTAACACGAGCCCTAGAGAGAGAAAGTGCGAAGAACACATCCTAGAAGCGATCTTGGAGCTGAGTTTCATCAAATAGAGCTTGTAGATCATCATAGGAGTGAAAATCATCATCCCAGAGCAGATTCTTTCCATTGTTATGAGTATGACTGCTTTGTATTATGTTTTTCTCTCTCTCTCTCTATGGAGTAGAACTCTCTCTCACTTGGGTATGAAGAACCCTAGTTCCATGTGTTAGGAATCTTGATTGTAATTACGTTTGGATTGTGATATTGCTTGATTATAATCGATTGAAGTGTTTTGAATGAGTCAATTGAAGTATGATCACCTTTTATTGATTTCTGCTGCAACCTGAGATAGATAGAATCTGATTAGGTTGTTAGAGCTTCTTCAATTGGTAGTAGTGAATCGATTATACGAGAGTTAGTCGATTCACTGCTTTGTACTGGAATCTAATTCCAGTAGTGGAGTTCTGTGTTCATAGCCTCAGCTTTCTATCCCGGTGAAGACTAGTCGTCTGCCGGGTAGTTGGACTGAGAGGGCCTGGTCAGCTTAAGAGATTCCAAGCTACTGTCGGAACTTCCGCAGTATAATCAGCAGTAAAGCAACCAAAAGTAATTACAACTGGAACCTAACTAAGGAGCTAGGGGGATTCATTCCCGAGTGACTCTTCCTTTGCTTCAGAAAACCGAACCATTTCCTGCTTTCTTACTGCTTTTACTTAAATCAACAATCACTTGACTTAGTTGGCTAGATAATAGATATTCACGGAGTAGGCAGTAGATCTAGACCCCGGGTTGACCTTAGAACTTGCCTGTTACTGCATTCCCGGAGTGCGATTATACTTGGTCGCGGTTTGGTGTTGTGTTTTAGCGTGTCAATACCCATATGATATGCATACACGTTGCAATTAACCATGACAAAACTGATCAATTAATCTATATAAATAACCAGCCGCAATTAATCCATGCCAAACCGTTAGTCACAAATATACACATTGAACATCCTAACACTTATTTATAGAGATTCTCCATCTAAACATGCTCCATTCAAAATTTCTAGCTCTATGAGAAAACTTAGGGAGGATATTTTTGTCATGTGTATTTGTTATAAAAAAAAATGTAACACACTCTACGCATAAACCCTATAAAAGTTACTATTGCTCTAAAAAAGTTATTTCTTAATAATTAAATAATTGACAAGTAAGTAAGGACTACTATCACTCTTCACGCCTCAACTAATTATTATATTTTCTATTTGATAATTCATTTAAAAATAAAACTATTATCAATCAACAACATTTTTAATATTTAGGACTCAACTTAGTTGCTGATTCAACCAAATTATATGGGGTAAATGCCATATTTGGTCATTGAAATTACTAAATTGTGCCATGTTTAGTCACTAGAAAAATTTAATATCAATTTTGGTCACTCGAATTACTGAAATAAGTCACATTTAGTCACTCTCCCGTTAGTTTCCGTCCAACTTCATTAATGGAGTTGGACGGAAACTAACAGGAGAGTGACTAAATGTGACATGTTTCAGTAATTCGAGTGACTAAATGTGACACATTACAGTAATTTGAGTGACCGGAGTTGGACGACGGCTAACGGGAGAGTGACTAAATGTGACCTGTTTCAGTAATTCGAGTGACCAAAATTGATATTAAAATTTTCGAGTGACTAAACATGACACTATTTAGTAATCTCAGTGACCAAATATGGCATTTACCCAAATTATATGAGTTTGTTGTTTCCTTTTTTTAACATGAGTTTGTTGTCTCCAGGGTTGGATTTTTAGAGTTAATGCTGAAAAGTTATTAAAAATAATGGAAGAATAAAATATCCTCTCTCTTATATCTTATTAAATGAAGAAATGGAGTATTTACAAAAAAATAGATTGTAATTTAAGTTCCACATCACGCTTAGTGGTTAAAAAAGTGTAGTCAAAATAGCATTTTAAATCTTAAAACCTTACTCTATTAGGTTATCAAAACTAATCTACATAGAATCACGCTTTTTGACTGCATTTTGTGCAATAATGCAGTCAAAGCATTTTCAAGGTTAAAAGTTTATGTTCATGTCAAAAACAAAAAAAGGTTAAAAGTTTATGCTTTTACGCTTCTAGGTCACCAAAACGCTTCTAACTAGAATCACGCTTTGAATGTGTTGGTTAGAACACCACAAACAGAATTAAGATTTTCGAAGATAGTCAATGATCTCAAGCAACAGTTGTGACTAGAATGAGGTGAATTCTTTGTTGTGAAAATTATTTTTTATATATGGTTAAGTTTAGGTAATGTTTGCTTATGGGATTTGGCCCAAGAGTCAAGGAGTTGGCACAAATCCATCGTTTGCTAAGGGACACAAATCCGTGGGGCTCACGGATTTGCAAATCCCACATTTCATTTGGGATTTGATAATGGAAGGCAAATATATGAGACAAATCAATCATAAACCTATGTAAAAATTAACTTAACAAACAATGTTATCAGTCATTTTTGAATACCTATAATACCGTGTCATTAAGTTTATTATGAGTTGATATTCCTTCCACGAGTCCTATAATTTAACTTCAACCAGAATTTGCATATATAGAAGACAATGATTACAAAGTAATAATATGTAAGATGAATGCTCATTTTCTATTTTCTCAACAATTGAATAATTTGACTTTCTTAATGGCCAACTATATTGGTATTTGTAAAAATTGATAGAATTACTTTTTAATTCGCATGACATTAACATATAATCATGACGCGAATATAAAAGAAGAAAATATCACTAGAATTTAAACTTGGAACATTTGTTATATACGATTATCGATCATATTGCAACCGGCCAACGGCCCGGGGTACTATCTAGTATATATACATAACCAACACAGGAACGAGGCTTTTCGTTCTTCCCCTGAAAGCGGGAACAAACACATATGTAGATAATAATTGACTAACCGGAAAAAATTTCAAGTTACACACGTTTTTAAAATAAATTCTCAAAATACACACGTTATGAAAAAAATTCCCAATCTACACAAACATGCGTAGATTGGGAATTTTTTTTCATAACATGTGTATTTTGAGAATTTTTATGTTTGCGTAGATTGAGAATTTTTTTCATAATATGTGTATTTTGAGAATTTTTTTTAAAAACACTTGCAGCTTGGGATTTTTCCCTGATTAACCGTACTCGCATGCATGTTAATAACAAGAATCAACTTCATGGCATGGCAAATGCATGAAAACCAATACCTAAGCAATACACGAATTTTACATGTCCATTAACTGAACAAACGTGATCAAAAGATGAACAACCAATTCGTCTTGCAATTATTATTTTTAACATAACCAGTAACATGAACGATTAATAAAAGTAAGACTCTTTAAGATTGTTGTGGAAATTGTTCACGTATACTATTTTCTTGTAAAACAAGCAACATGTAAGATCATGAAAAATCATGCAAAGCTACATATGACCGTCCTAGCCGACAGAATTCACTGTCTCTCCCT